TTTAAGGTACAATTAGGAACTGAGGATAGTTTTTTTTTTTTGGTGCTATGTTGCGCCGTTTGTGGTAACTAGGCGGCAACTGTGTTGCATGCAACAATGTATGGTAGTTTCCATATATTTTCGCTAAAAATATTGAGGTTTTGATTCAGGTAGTGGTGGTGATCAATTCATATCTTCAACAGAGATTCATATCTCTAAGGAATTTTCCCAGAGTACCTGACCCCAAGCGTCAGAGAAATTGAGATCCTATCCATGATGAGCAGTGGAGTTATCCATTTGGTTACTCAACCACGAATTTTCTAAAGACCATAAACAAGGCCTTCTTCCCAAAAATTAAAAAAAAAATGTTAATCCTCCAAACACTGTCCTCACCCATACCCTTGTAAGTAATTTACCACAATTGCATATATTTCCCCAGACAGTCTCATGGCATAGCCTATAATTACATACGGCAGAAAAAAAAATGTAATGCGTCGGAAAGCTAAAAACAAACGAAAAAGTCAAACATCAACAAAAAATCTCGACTTTTAATTTACAAAGAACATTAACAGCAATTTTTTTTTTTTGGTGGAGAAGGGATTCGAAAAATATTTGCATGAGCTCAACATAAAAACCCCCCGAACAAACATCCATTGTCAAAACTTTAAAAACATTTTACTATAAAAGCGTAGATTCCAAAGGGAAAGGGTAAAGGACAAAATTATGCACAAAATTGAAACATTTAAAACGAGTTGCTTTTTCAATTGAAATTGTGTCAGCACAATTTTAAAATGTTGCAGGAAAAGTTTAAATGCCATAAATTAAATTTATTACCCAAAGAAAAGTGTAATTATTTACCACAAAATGTGTGGGGTAATGGTGCTTAATCATGATAATTAAATAGTTTATTTTGAAATTATTTTTATTCCTGGAATTTTATGAGACTTTTCTCTCCTTGGTAGGGAAATGTTATTAAAAGTGGAAAAGTAGGGAGTATGCACTATTTTATTGTGGGCGGATGAGAAGGTATTTTCTTGAGGCTTCCATAATATTTGAGGAATATGTATGGGATGATTGCTTATACAAAAAAGTAATAATAAAACTGAGTACAAAGAAGAGGAAAAAGCAAACAAGTAAAAATAGCTGTAAGTTCGGGCCGGCCGAAATTTGGCAATTTTCAAAAAAAAAAATATATATATATATAAATATATAAATAAATAAATAAAATCCGTTAAAAATTCTGTAAAAATTTTAAAAATACCGAATGTCATATATTAGGGTCTATACGACGACGGGGACCTACATAGGTAAATTATAAGCTATTACAATATTCAAATACGAAACTTGAAAAAAATCTGTTTATAATGTAGCTAAAATCATCAAAATACCGAATTAGGGAGGTACCATTTTGAAATAATACCTGTAAATAGTGTCGCTAAAATCATCAAAATACCGAATATCGGGGGTAACGTTATATGGGGGCTATACGAAGACGTAGATTTGCACAGACAATTTTTTGTCATAAGCTGTAGTATCAATTACGAACTTAAAATGCCGAATTTGAAACAATTCCGGTAAATAATGTCGCTAAAATCATCAAAATACCGAATATTGGGAGGTACTGTTATAGGGGGGCTAGTATCCTAGTATTCACTACGAACTTCAAATTCCAAATTTTAAACAATTCCGGTGAATAATGTTGCTTAAATCATCAAAATACCGAATATCGGGAGGTACCGTTATATGGTTCATATAGCCCCATATAACGGTACCTTCCGATATTCGGTATTTTGATGATTTTAGCAACATTATTCACCGGAATAGTTTCAAATTGATTGATTGAAATGACCTACATGATCCATTTACGAACTTAACCTGCCTACTGGAATAAATAATAAACATGTGTGCAAAATTTTAGCCTTCTATCTCAATTCGTTCGAAGGATAGCGTGATTACTACAGACAAACGTACAGACAGACATACAGACGGACGTCGATAAATCGACGTAGAATTTTACGCTTTATTTATTTTTTCGGGTCTGACATGAGTATTTTGAGGAGTTACAAACGGATTGACAATGTTAATATACCCTCCATGGAAAGATGGAGGGTATAATAATATGGATTTTAAGCGTCGTTTCACAACTGTAGATAAGAAGGATCCACCACTCCAGAGACAAAAGAACAATCCAAACAATGGACTGATGCTGGAGAAAGTGTCCCTTCTTTAGGACAAAAAAAAAATCGGTCGGCTGGTAAGGTAATGACAACGGTTTTTTGGGACTTCAAAAGAATTTTATTGATTGACTATCTGCAAAAAAGTAAAACAATAAATGCAGAGTACCATTGCAACCTTTTGGATCAATTAAATGTAAAAACTGGAGAAAAACTTCCAACACACACAAATCATTTTTCACCAAGACAACGCACCAGCGCACAAGAGTGTTCTAACAATGGCTAAAATCAACGAATTAAAAGTACGAGTTGCTTGACCACCCAACTTTTTCTCCTGATTTAGCTCCCAGTGAATTTTACTTGTTCCCAAATCTTGGTATTTTTGGTTGGCACTTGCTTTCCAAAATACTCCAGACACAATAGTCCAACGGATTGGTATCCTGAGATTTTGGTGGCCATTGTGCGCTGGAAATGAAGCGGGGAATCTCATTTTTTAACTATTCTTGGGTGGCGCGTGCTGAGTGCCAAAATGCGGCCAAAATTTTTGCATGCCAAAGGCTTTAATACACCTTCCAGAATATATTCGCGATAATTCGGCAGTTCACCACTTTCGGCCAAGCGAAGCAACTCTTTAGCTCTTTTGAGTCTATTTTCTTTCTGTTACGGTGTAAGTTCTTGCACTTTTTGGAATTTCAATGGCTTTATCCCGAGCTCATTTTTCAATATTTGTCGAATGGAATGACCACAAGGTGGTCAGGGTATTTTGTCTTTGTGCATTTGTTTGTAACAGGCAAAAGGAACCGAGATAGACCCATAGTTTCTTTTGATGATCTGCATAGAATCACATTTTGAGTCGATTTATGCATGTCCGTCCGTCCGCCTGTCCATGTATTCTTGTGAACAAAATGGAGGACGCATTTATTATCCGATAGATATGAAATTTTCCAAACACCATTTTTTTTTGACCCAAGGACGAACCCTATTGAAATTTGAGATAATCGGTCAAAATTTAGATATATCTTCGTCCGATTTGTCCTCTATTGTGCACCAAACGTGTAATATCAGCCCGAAAAGTATGGAACTTTGCACATACAACCAAATTAGACCTGAAAATAAATATGCCAAATTTGATCGAAATCGGTTCAGATATAGCTATAGCTCCCATATATATTGTTCATCCGATTTGTTATATTTGATACCCATAGCCGTAATATGCACTCCGTAACAACGATATTCAGGGAAATATATCGAGATCGGCTCATAAATATATTTGCTAACTTTTATTGAGATCGGTTCAGATTTGGATATAGCTCCCATATATAACTTCGTCCGATATACCTTTGATTGTGCACCAAACGTTTAATATCCCAAATGGGATGAAATTTGGCACTTATGACTGAATTGAGTCTAGAAGCCAGTATGTCAAATTTTGTGAAGATCGGTTCAGCTATATAGCTATAGCTCCCATATATACTGTTCATCCGATTTGTTATATTTGTTGCCCACAGCCGTAATATGCACTCCGTAACAACGATATTTAGGGAAATATATCAAATACAGCTCAGAAATATCTTTGCCAAATTTTATAGAGATCGGTTCCGATTAGGATATAGCTCCCAAATATATTTTTATCCGAATTAAAATTAATTGTGCACCAAATGGACAATACAAGTCCGAATTTAAAAGATACAAATGCCTCGGCATATTTAGTCCTTTGAACTTAAAATTATAATTATAATCATTGCGTGTATGATTGAATTCTCCCGTAAAAAACTTTTAATTGTTATGCAGAGCTCTACTAAATTAGCAAAGTGGTGTAGAGTATCATAAAGTCGGCCCCGCCCGACTTTAAGACTTTCTTTACTGGTTTTAATATAGATTGGTGGATTGCTTGTTAATGTCTTTTAATGATGTTCCTTAGCAAGGTCAAGGGTCAGATCATTGTCTCATCCAAGGCTTCCTGTTTGCAGATAATTCGAATCACTACCCGAGTCAGATCGTATGGTAATTGTTATTGAGGTGGAGCTAAACTTCGTACTCATAGCTTTGTTGGCTAAGGATGCAAAGTCGTCTACATCAGCATCAGTCGACATAGGTGTGTTTGTTTTTGGTGGATATAATAATTTGTCTTGTCAGGATACTGATGTCGACTATGGCATAGTCTCTGTACAATGGCAAGAACTCGGTATCAAGAACTCTTTTTCGCTGGGGCGTCGAGATATCAACGAAACTCCTTTAAAATACAGCCTGCAAAACCTGACTGCAAACCTGTAACACTGATGGGCTTGTGGTTGCATAACACCCCAACATTAGGGGATCATCTTTTTGTGGGGATCAGCGCAGAAGTTTGACTATTTTAAGGGCGCCAAGAATCGCCTCGTCAGTCTAAGGATCATTGGCACTCGGGTTTTTAAGCCAAGACTTCCCCAAGACGCGTTGACTGTCCGCGACTATTTATTCAATTCGTAGTTATCAAGAATCTCTACTTGGCTTATTCGCAACCTGTGGATGCTTTTTATAGATATCATCGGATATGCTCTCTTTTGTGGAGTGTATGTCATTTTAATTTTATGTTTTCAAAATCCAAACACGTGTCAGCTATCCCCAAATTTATCGTTATCAGATATGCAGTACTTACATACTTACATATACTATGCATTTGATTACAACACTTCCTCGCTGGATTCTTCTTTGTATGAGAAGAACACTTCATATTATTGTTTAATACTAAACATTAACTTAATTACAGTTATTTTTCAACTAACTTTTAATTAACACTTTTATCTTGCGATGCCTTAATACTAACTTTTGTTCTTGTTCTTCTTCTCCCATTCATTCTCTTTGCAGACAAATCCGGTGCACATTAAACACTACAAGCCGTTAAAGGACGCACGTGAAATGGAGACAGTAATATCGGGCATACATTTTGTGGTAACGCCACAACATTTTATTTATGGCAAATTAAAAGTAAGTATCGAGAGTTGGAATCTCCATAAAAGTTGAATTAGCCCATGATTGTCAAGGTATGGCCAATAAATGGAACCAGCAGACCAAGCCACCATTCTGACTAAGTTCTAAAAGTCTTAGTTGGGGCATGGTTGGTGGCCATAAACCTAAAACAGTCGTGTGGAGCCTATAAAAAGTAGCAACTTTTTCCATTTAAAAGTGATAAATGTCGAACTATTACGGGTTCGCACAATGCAAAAATAACCTGCACCCCATCGAGTTGTGGGCCATTATTTACCTGCTGGTTATGGCAGAACGACAAAGAGGCTTAGAGGAAATATCAATTTGGTAAAGTTTTGGTTCCACCAGCCAGCCAACCATTTGGCTAATAAAAACAAATCCTTTTGTTCGACAAGATTTAGCTCTTGTTAAATCTGTTCCATAGCCTGGCCTTTGGTGTGGAGTATTTCCCATAGCTCCTTTGTGTTTTAAATATTAAGTAATTAATTGTACATGCTAAACATTGAAATTCATTAGACGACATTTATCTCGAGGTTTCGTTTTGGGCAAACGTTGTCATTGTCATCGCCATCCGCATGACCACTGGGCCATTTTAGTAGTCATTCCATGTAGGCAATAAAAAACATTACATTTGCCGCTTAATTGTTTGTTATTGTTGTCCGGTGCTGCATTATTTTTGTCGTTTAGCCAAATGACCGCCTGGCCTGCCGGCCGGCCGACCAGATGTCCTCTATGGCCAATGAATTGTTTTATGACCGCCTTTTTGTTTTAACTCAACTCCTTTGTTGTCCATTTGGAATCCGTGACACGTCCATGGTAACATTTTATGGTTAATTGTAATTTTTGCGCCTTGTTGCCAGCGCTTTTGTTTTGGTTATAATTATATCCGTTTGAGGACAAATCTTCTACTTGGTTATTTTTATTTCATGCGATGATAAGATAGGTCTAAGAGGCTTGAGTAAATAGAGATTTCAAAAAGAAGGAGAAAATGTTCGATTTAACAAATGGAAAGTTCCATGACAAGTTAAAATATTTGTACAACCAATCAAGTGGAAGTCTCATAATAAACCCTTCGGAGGGATGACAATTTTGACCAGATCACGAATTTAATTTCAAAATTTGAAGAATTAAGCAATACTAGATCAGACTATACAGGATGAGATGAAAACATGCAATCAACTCCACACTGATGTAATTTCTAAGCCACTCGTCCGACAGTTGTTAAAATTATTCCAGTGACAGCGACAGATGAAAAGCATTTTGGCAAGAATTTTCCAGAAAAAAAGTTATTCGTGATGGAATTCAAGCGAGATAGTGTGATTCTTTATATTTGGCTGGAAAACCACAAGTGAATCTTTTGTGTCTCGTTACGGTGATACTGGTAGCCTAGCCCGACGTCAAGGAAGTGTACGGAAGAAAACAGTAACATCAGCAGAAATGGTTTGAAAAGTAAAGAAGCGACTTGATCGAAACTCGCGTCGCAGTGGTCGAAAGAAAAATGAGGTTCCTCGCTTTATTTCCAGCGCACAATGGCCACCAAAATCTCCGGATACCAATCCTTTGGGCTATTGTGTCTGGAGTATTTTGGAAAGCAAGGTTGGATCTAAAAAATACCAAAGTGTCGATCAGCTCAAGCAAGCGCTTCGCCAGAAATGGGCCAAAATACCGCAGAGCAACATTCGGGCAGAGTGTGACGGTTTCATTGGTCGTTTGACAGCTATAATTCGTGCCAAAGGTCACCAATTCGAACAAGTCTTAACTTATTCTACCAGGAGAAGTGAATATTCACAGTATATCTTATAGTGGTAGAAAAAATGGGATGAGTGAAATATAAATAGAACCGGATGCTTATTTCGGAATTTATTTTTATCGTTTTGGGTATTTAAAATTTTGAGCCTTTGTGGGGCAGGTACCAGAAGGAATGGTCCGATCTCTACCATCTATATAACTAATCTTGTTTTGATAGAAATATTGAGATGTGACAAGCTGGAATGGAATCGGATAATAATTTCACGTTTTATGGGTGATGGATATCCTAAATTTTGACCCTTTGTGGTGTAGGTACCAGAAGGAGTGGACCGATATATTTCCTCTTCACACCTGACTTTTGGCTAATTAAAATGTGTGTAATTTAGAGACCAACCGACTTTTACATCATATTTAAAAAAAGTTATAATTATTCAAGATTTTGACCCTTTAGGGGGAGGTACTTGATGGAGTGGACCGACGTATTCCAACTTCGCATCTGACATGGCACTGATGCAAATATTAGGATTTGCAAAGTTGGTACAAAATTGGATTATCCTTTCTCTTTCGGTACAGTTAAAGATTTTTTGTAAAAATTTCGACCTTTTGTGGGGAGGTACCAGAAGGAATGAACCGATATTGCCCATCTCCGAACTCGATATAAGTTTAATAATAATAATATTACGATGTGCCAAAGTTTGACCAAATCGAATATTGTCTTCGTGAGCACCACCTAGCCAGACGGACGAACGGACATCGCTATATCGACTCCAAATGTCTTAAAACGGATTTGGTCCAAAGTGAGCTAGGGTCTAATATCTTTATTCCGATGAGACAGGTTTTGGAATTATCAAATGATATATACTCTCTCTAGCTATATGGCTAAGGGTATAAAAGTTACGATTCAAGACTATCGATATCTGCGATAAAATGAAAAGTAGAAATAACGTTCTAAGGCGCCAACTAGCGGCACTGTCATGCTAGCGAGGAAAAAGTTTTGGCCACTATTAACGCGATAGGTCGGTCTGTAGTTAACTATGCGTCCCTGTGTGGTCTGCTAATACTAGTGCTACCCAAAGAGCAATAGTCAAACCTGACAGTATGCTGGACTGAAATTGAATGTTGGAATTTTGGGTGAGTGCCACTCTTGGTCCAAAGTGTCACAAAAGGTTTTTTTTTTAACTTTGTACCAGAACGGTGGGAAAAGTACAAAAAAGTACTAAATATGGCACCCTTGGTATTTGACGAACTAGTGGAGCTAGAGCTCTTCAATTTGGAATGAGGATCACTGATGAAGTGTATGATGAATGTATCAAACATTTTATTTTGCGCTTTAAGTGTATGAAAAGTACTAAAATATACTACATTTTGTACTGTTTCGCAATATGTGAACGGCTAGAGTTAAGAAGTTGAAAATTAGAATGAAATGGAAGGTATGGAGCTGGAATCCTGAAATTTACAGGCGGATTGTAGGATTGGGGTGTAGAGGTACTTTTCATACTAAATGTTACTAAATTTGGTAAAAAATGAATTTTGGAATAATCGTTAGAGTTGGAATCCTGAAATTTGGATATAAGATTTCTAATGTATGATGCAGGTACTTATGGAACTTTCACTTTATGTGTACTAAATGGTACTAAATTTGGTACAGTTTCGATTTGGGTGAACCGATTGAGCTGGAATGTTGATATTTGGAAATAAGATTTCTATTGCATTGAAGGGCTGCTGTATGTTGGTCGTTTTGGACTTATGTGAACTGAATGGTACTAAATTTAGTAAAAATTAAATTTTCGAATAACCGAAAAAATTGAATTCCTGAAATTTGGAAATAATTTGGGGGGAACCGATTGAGCTGGAATGCTGAGCTGGAAATAAGACTACTATTGCATTATAGAGCTGTGGTGTGCTGGTAGATTTGGAAATTGGTACAATTTAAATATTGAAAACCTGAAATTTGGAAATAAGATTTCTATTGGATGATGTAAGAAGTTATGGAAATTTGTACCAAATCTGGTACAAAGGCTATAAATGGTACAACATTTAGTGTTGATTTTACGGATCGAGTTAGATTTCTGAATTTCGGTGTTGGGGTAAGAATCAGTGTGTAGTGTTGAGTCGTGTAGCTGGTTTTGGAAATACCCACTGTAGATATATGAAGGTTACTCAATGGCGCTTAAATTTGAATTATGGTCGATATTGCTGTGTAGGGTGGAGATATGAAGAGGTTTTTTTTTTGGAAATTAATACTTACGTGACTGAAAAGTACCAAGTGGTTCTAAATTCGGTATTAGGTGTAGACAACAAAATAATATACATGTATATATGAAGGTGTGGAATAATGAGTGAGTGTGAGCCAATGTTGGTGTGTAGGGGTGAGATAAGGCTGAAATTCGTACTAGAAGGGTACCAAACCCTGAATCCATTGTATTGGTCAAAAGGATAAACCTAGAATTCTGAAATTCGAAATTTAAGGGTCACTGAAGGGGTGTAGGACAGATATAACTACAATTTTTGGAATGTTCGAAAAAATATGTAACAATTGGTGTTACGTGAATATCTTGACATTTGGTACAAGAAATAACTTGGGGACATAGAGTTGATATAGGGAGGTAGTCTTGGTCTCATGAAATCGGATAAAATATGATCACATGTCTTGTCAAAATTTCCAAAATTCATATTCTTACCTCTAACTCGATAATAATATTGTATCAAGCACTAACATTAATACTAGATTTGAAAACCAACATATTCGTAAAATTTTAGCTTTTATAACCAAATTTCACGTTGTCCCTCCTATACTCCATAGCGGCGTAAAATTTCCCACAATTATTGATTTAGAGGTTTTATGGCCTTTCATGAGCATCTTGATGCTCATAATTACTTACACAGTCATCTGGTCTTAACAGAAACCGCACACAACTACATACAAACATACGTACACACATATATGTAAATAATTGCGCACCGAAATATGGCAAAGTGTTTGCACAAACACCAGCATACATATATATTGGTGATTGTGTGTGCGTGTTTGCAAATGCAGTGATATAAGACAACAACTTCAACGTCGATAAGTTAATGAAAATGTGGTGAGGTGTATAAGGGTGGGATGGAAAAAATAATGAATAAATGGTGGTATATGATTTTAAAGCCAAAGAAGTCGAAAAATCTATGACGATTTAACATTTCCAGTGATTTTTATACCATACACCACATAGTGGTTCCTCGCTTCATTTCTAGCGCACAATGGCCCCCAAAATCTCCGGATACCAATCCGTTGCACTATTGTGTCTGGAGTATTTTGGATAGAAAGAAAGGTTGGCACTAAAAAATACCAAAGTGTCAATCACCTCAAGCAAGCGCTTCGCCGGGAATGGCGATAATTCGTGGCAAACGTGACCAATTCGAACAAATCTAAACTTATTCTAAAATTTGATGCTATTTCCGACATTTTTTGCTTTCATTCAATAAAATTAAAAAAAACATGTAAAAACATGTAAAAATCGGTCTTTGTATAGCCCCCATATAACGGTACCTCCCGATATTTGGTATTTTGATGATTTTAGCGAATTTATACACCGGAATTGTTTCAAATTTGGTATTGGCCTAAGACAGAAAATTATCTGTGCAGGTCCACCTCTTCGTATAGCCCCATATAACGGTACCTCCCGATATTCGGTATTTTAATTATTTTATGGTAATTTTTTTAACCAGAATTGTTTCAAATTTGGTATTTGAAGTTCGTAATGGATACTACAGCCTACGACAGAAAATTGGCTGTGCAGATCCACGTCTTCGTATAGCCTCCGGATAACGGTACCTCCCGATATTCGGTATTTTGATTTTATCGACATTATAACCAATTTTTTAAGGATTATGACAAACGCAGGTTCATGTAGTCGTATAGAATGAATGACCAATATCAGTCCAAATGACCAGAAATTTAACACTTCCGAGGAAATTCCGCTATAGCTCCCATATATATATATATATATATATATATATATATATATATATATATATATATATATATATATATATATATAGGTTTCATACGATTTTGTATTTAAATCGCTCATATTCGTAATATGCACCCCATAAAAATGATATATATCTCTGCCAAATTGGATCAAGATCGGTTCAGATTTGATATACCTCCCTTATATGTCTTCAACCGATTTCGAGTTAATTGTGCACCATATAGCTAATATCAGTCCCAATGACCTGAATTTTGGCACATCATACCGAATTCATTCTAGAAGCAAGTACATCAAATTTAGTTAAAATCTGCTCTGATATAGCTTTAGCTCCCACATATATTTTTTATCCGATTTGGTGTTTATATCCCTCATATTCGTATTATGCCCTCCCCAAGAATAATATTTGGTATCAGATATCTTATAGATCTCGAAATTACCTTTGCCAAATTTTATCGAGATCGGCTAAGATTTGGATATAGCTCCCATATATATGTGTTCAACCGATTTCGGGTTAATTGTGCACTAAATGGCCAATATCAATCCAAATTACCTGAAATTTGGCACATCCATCCTACTATATGCTAAATTTGTACCTGTCAGAGAATACCTTTACAACTTTAAACGGAACGAGCTGTAATTTGGCATTTCGAGTTCTCAGTACGAGGATCTCTTCTTCGTAGTTGGCAAATATTCCCTTAAACAAAATATTATAAACAATGGCTCACGTTTTGTCATAATGGTTAAAAGTACTTCCATATTCAAATCATGGATTTCCTCATATTGGAAATTAAATGGTAACCTCCCATTTCAAAATTAGTTTACCAACTGATTTACTTCAAATTTAAGGTTCCCCTAAGGATAAGAATATGTCCCTATTCTTTTCAAATTAAAAGAGATTTTATTCCTGTCTTCTGGTAGAATATGTATTGAATGGCTTCTTTAAACTTTCCCAACCTTCCCAGTTTTCTCACCCCAATGTACTTTTCCATTTGCTGCCAACATCTTCATCTCATTTGCCACCGACATTTTCTCATATAAAATAAATAAGTACACCATGCACTCATACACACGCACATAAGTCAATATGGCGTTATATCATTTTCTCTGCGTTTAACCACATCAAGTGGTAAATATGACTGTCATTCATTGAAAGTCAAAAATAAACAACAACAACAACATCAACCAGAAACTGAGAAATAACAACAGCTACCATGAGGATGATGAATAAAATGTTTACCATAATGATGACCAAAAAGGAAATGGAGATATTCATGGCTGGTAGCACGGCCACGTTTCTCCAGTTTCTCATCCAAGATATTGGGTGCAATGGATCTGATTATTTAAATTATCCTCTTTAAGACAACTGAGATTGTGCGTTGTCCAGGGGAGCAAGAGACTTAATGATAATCGTCAATGAATAACATTTCTTCAATGGTCATCTGAAAAAGCCATTTGCCAGTCAGTTGAGATGACTTTCAATGATTATTGGGCATTTTTATGTCCACTTGTCGTGGCCGTTTGCTAGCTTTTTCTTTGCGCCCCGAAACCAAGGCTCCATATCAGATTTTCTTAATCAATTAAACGGCTATAATTTTTTTTTGTCCATTTGCAGTACGTTTTATTAATGACATTCTTTTAATGTGTGTGTGTTTGTGTATTTTTATTTCATTTCCAGATACGCTGTACAGCCCACATCCACGATGTTTATTGGAAATCCACGGAAAAGTCTGTTGAAGAAAATCGCCATGCCACCAAACAGTCGGGCAATGTCAATGTGGTGCACACATTCTCAGATGATTATTTTGATATGGATGATGAGGATAATGTCATTGATCGCTCCGATACATATATGACACACATCAAAGGTAAGAAGAAAAATATAATTATTTTCAGTTTTTTCGAAGGCTTTTGTGGAATTTAATTTAATATTGTGCAAAAGGAGAAGAGATCCAAAGATTTAATTGAAAAAATATTATTAACACTTTGAAGGAAAGAAAAAAAAAAATTGCTTTAAGGACGTTTGTAAAGACACACTTTAGGTCGTTCAGGAGGTCTATAGAGACCACCTTCAGGTCATCTATAGAGATCACCTTCAGGTCGTCTATAGAGACCACCTTCAGGTCGTCTATAGAGACGCCCTTCTTCAGGTCGTCTATAGAGACGACCTTCTTCAGGTCGTCTATAGAGACGCCCTTCTTCAGGTCGTCTATAGAGACGCCCTTCTTCAGGTCGTCTATAGAGACGCCCTTCTTCAGGTCGTCTATAGAGACGCCCTTCTTCAGGTCGTCTATAGAGACGCCCTTCTTCAGGTCGTCTATAGAGACGCCCTTCTTCAGGTCGTCTATAGAGACGCCCTTTTTCAGGTCGTCTATAGAGACGCCCTTCTTCAGGTCGTCTATAAAGACGGCCCTTCAGGTCGTCTTTAGAGACGGCCCTTCAAGTCGTCTTTAGAGACGCCCTTCTTCAGGTCGTCTGTAGAGACGCCCTTCTTCAGGTCGTCTATAGAGACACCCTTTTTCAGGTCGTCAGTAGAGACGCCCTTCTTCATGTCGTCTATAGAGACGCCCTTCTTCATGTCGTCTATAGAGACGCCCTTCTTCATGTCGTCTATAGAGACGCCCTTCTTCAGGTCGTCTATGGAGACGTCCTTCAGGGACGTCATCTTTGGCACGAAATACGGCCATCAAACGACCAACGAAGCCGTCGCACGTTGCGCGAATGTTGCTTTGCGGTATTTTGACCCATTCCCGCGAAGCGCTTGCCTCAAGTGATCAACACTTTGGTATTTTTTAGTGCCAACATTGCTTTCCAAAATTCTCCAGACACAATAGACGGATTGGTATCCGGAGATTTTGGTGGCCATTGTGCGCATGAAATGAAGCGGGGAACCTCATATTGTAACCGCGTGCTGAGTGCGATGGTACTGAATCCAGCTGGAATGTCCAAGGTCTGTGGCTGAAATGTTTGCGTTCCCAAGGCGTCCCCAAGGCGGTATTTATTCTGATGCCACGGTCGATTAATTCGAGCCGAGAGCGACCATCGGCTGTTATGGCGGTCCACACCGTCACCATGGCCGGCGCTTGAGTTCTGATGGCCAATCGAAGGTGTACATTTGATCTGACCTCGACCACGATCATTTTGTTTGTTTACAAACTGCTGAACAACGAATGTTTTCTAATCGGAGAAAACCTAAATCGGCAGTTTACCACTTTCGGCCGAGCGAAGCAACTCTTTAGCTCTTTTGAGTCTATTTTCCTTCTATTGCGGTGTAAGTTCTTGCACTTTTTTCGAAATTTTTGCCGAGTTTATTTTTCAATATTTGCCGAATGGAATATTGCGATATATTCAGCTCACGATCCATATTTCGGCCACTTCGACGCGGGTTTCGATCAAGTTGCTTCTTTACTTTTCGAAACATTTCTGCTGATGTTGCTGTTTTCTTCCGTCCGCTTCCTTAACTTTGGGCTACGCTACCAGTATCACAGCAACGAGCGATGATACGAGACACAAAAGATTTATTCAAATTTAAATGCTCTAACGATAGCCACTTGTAGTTTTCCATCCAAATATAAGGAAATCACTATCACGCCTGAATTCCATCACGAAGTACTTTTCTTCTGAAAAATTTTCACCAAAATGCTTTTGTACGCTTGTAAGTGATATAATGAGCTATTACTGGAATAATTTTAACAGTTGCCGGACGAGTGGCTTAGAAATGACAGCATTCTGAAATTGGTTGCAGTTTTTTCATCGCACCCTTAGGTGAGGTCGTCTATATAGACACCATTTTGGTCGTCTATAGAGAAATCCTTCAGGTCGTCTACACTTCAAATTGAACAAAAACTTTTGTTTCTTTTTTTCCTTTATCTTTCATTTTCCCTACCACAGTTAAACGTGCCTCATAGAAATATCGGGTTTTAATCCCTCCCCTACAAAAGGTCCAGATTTTCACAGATAATAACTTACTTCATAGGACAAGAAAAGATCGACAATTTTTGAGCAAATTTTGAATATATTGGACAACTCCATCAAGAATCTCCCCCACAGCAGGTCAAAAGTTTGATTAATTATAATTAATACAAAATGTGAAATAAAAGTCCTATTGTCTTCAAATCTCATCCCCATATTTGTATCAACACAAGATGCAATGTGGAAATGGGACATATAAGTTCACTCCTTAAGGTACCTCCCCTACAAAAGGTCAAAATTGTGAATAATCGTCTCTCTTATAAAATATGTAATAAGTGCCTCATCACCTTCAAATTTCACACGCCCTAATATTTTCACTAAGGGATCTGGTACGAAATGGAAACTATCTGTTCACTTCTTCTGGCACATCCCCCACATAGGCCACATCACAATTGTCGGTATTTATGTATCTCATAACTTACGAACGAGTCAGCGATTCTTTTCAAACTTGGTACCAGAGCACAACTCTGGTGCGTTGTAACATTTATATCAGACCGACCAGTTCAAATACAAAATGGACAAAATTGGGCCACTTCTTCGGAACTTCCCCCATAAAGGGTCAACAGTTTGAATAATATAACGCAAGGCTGTGTGAGTGTGTATTAACTTGTTTGAGTGCGTATTATGATATTAGATCAGTTATAATTTAGAACCAGAAGGAACTAATTTTCACCAAATTTTACGAATTCACGAATTCATTGTTATGGAATGATATGGCTTCGAGAAGGCTGAAATTAAACTAATAAAATAAATTAAGTACGTTTGGACCGATCTGTTTATATTGGGGCTATACGAAAACGTGGACTTGTATATGCAGTGTTTTGCTACAGGAGATAGAATCCATTATGAACTGTAAATATTAGATTGTAAGCTATTCCGCTAGAAACTAAGGCTAAAATCACCAAAATACCGAATATGAGAAGGAAAACGTGGACCTATATAGACAATGTTCTGCAGAACATATGATAAACTCTAAATATTGAATATTAAAGAATTCCGTGTGTCAAAAAATTAAACGAAAAATTAGATTTATATAGACAAAGTTCTGCCACAAGAGGTAAATCTCATTCCAAACTCTAAATACCAAAATTTCTGAAGTATTCCGTTAGACAGTATGACTTAAAAGTTAGAAAGTGGTTCTAAAATGATTGTTTCGGTGAGTTACAAATGGAATAACAAACTTAATATACACTCTATACTATGTATTCGGACAGCATAATAATATATTCGAGCTATAGATATTCCGGGACAAAATTTCACCAACTGTGCTATTTGCTTCCAACTTAAATTCGGTTGAATCTGCAAAATCCATCTTATATGGGTTTATATTACAAATTTGGAGCACAAAAAAATTAAAATCGGCTTCAAGGCTTAATGGTCACATGTGCCAAAATTTTGGGCTGAAATTTACATTTGTTTCATAATATACTTTAATATAGATTCTAAACTATATCTGATAGCCGGTACCAAACATCATTGTTGTGATGTGCAAATTACTAATGTGAGGGACTTAAACACCAAATCGGATAAAACATATGTATGCATTCGCAGAAATTCAGCCAATTTAGAGGAGTATTACGCATATAGCAAAAAATTGAACTGGGACGAAGGTATATATACGGTCAAGAAAATGATTTGTGGAATATTTCCTCTCAATTGGTTAATAAATGCAAACTGACTTTTGTTTACAAAAATTGTTAGACAGACGGTCTACTCAGAATATGATTCTTTGGAGATCATCAAAAGGAGCTATATGTTTATTTTGTTTACTTCTGCATCACTAAGATATAATACCCTGTATTATAGTGTGGCGTAGGGTATAATTACAAACGAACTACCTTCCTTAATTAGTTCGCGCTTTAAGAGTCTTTATCCATGGCCTTGATCTGGGATGCCGGGCACTCTCTCCAATCAAAGAAAGCAAGTGTGCAAAAAAAATATCTAAGAAACTATTAGAGGAGACTGAAAACAAAATATCTATTAATTAAGAATGAAGAAACAGTTGTATCTTCCCATATACTGGCAGATTTTTGACCTTGTTCCCCTTAAGGTAATTTCTAGTGCAATAGTAGCATATCGCCTTATTGTGTGTTCTCATTTGACTACTTATTAAAGCCTTTTTTAGTAATATTCTTACACATCCTTGTCTGAGTACTTGTTTAGGTCCCATGAAGTAGTTGCCTTCAGTATCCTTGTAGATTCCCGTAATATCCAGATCCGACGAGAATTTAGCGATTTGGGACCTTCAATATACGGTATTTTGACGATCTTAGCCACACTTTTCTGCAGAATTATTTCAAATTCGAAATTTAGAGTTCCCAATGGGTACCACCTTCTCTTGTCGATAATAGGCTGTAAAGATGCACATTTTCGTACTACACCATAAAACAGTAACCCTGATTATCTTAATTTTTATACACTCCACCATACATAGTATGGAGGGTATATTATGTTCGTCATTACTTTTGTAACTCATCGTAATAATAATTTTGTTATATATATATTCCTGATCAGCGTAAAATTCTAAGACAATTTAGCCCTGTCCGTCTGTTGAAATCGTGCTGTAGTCAAAACATATAAAGATAGGAAGCTAAAATTTTGAACAGATCAGTCTTTTTTCTGAATGCAGGTCAAGTTCGAAGATGACCTATATCGGTCCACGATATCGTATAGCCTCTATATAACGGCACCCCCCGATATTCGGTATTTTAATGATAGTAGCTAAATTTGTCTATGAAATTGCCTAAAAATCCACAAAAGGAGTTCCTTCTGATTACTTTACCCCTTCGAAGATATTGTATATCCCCCATACAACGGTACCTCCCTCCCTTTAGCTACATTTTTCAATGGAATTGTCTAAAAATACATACTAGAAGTTTCTTCAAAGCACTTTACCCCATGAAAGAGATATGGGTCCACGATATCGTATAACCCACATACAACGGTACCTCCCGATATTCGATATTTTGACGATTTTGAAGGAACATTATTCACCGGAGTTGTTTAAAATTTCTATCTAGAGTTCGTAATGGGAACTACAATCATTGCCAAAAAAATTGTGTATGCAGGTCCATGTTTTCGTATAGTCCCGATATAACGGTGCCTCCCTATATTCGGTATTTTGACGATTTTAGGTATAATATTCACCGAGATTATTTGAAATTTCGTATTTGAAGTTCCTAATAGGTACTACAGCCTGTGACAAGAAATTGTCCATGTAGGTCCAGATATAACGATACCTCCCGATATTCAATATTTTGACGATTTTAGGGGGACATTATTCACCGAAGTGGTTTAAAATTTTGTATTTGATGAATTTGAAGTAGGTACTACAGCCTAGTACTACAGCCAAAATTACGTTTGCAGACCTAAGTCTTCGTATAGAAATTGTCCATGTAGGTTCAGATATAACGGTACCTCCCTAGTACTACAGCCAAAATTACGTTTGCAGACCCAAGTCTTCGTATAGGCCCAATATATCAGTAGCTCCCTAAATTCGGCATTTTGACGATTTTAGCTACGTTATTCACTGTTTTTTTCGAGTTTCGTATCTAGATAATGTAATGGCTTATGCAGGTCCACATCTTATAGACCCCAATGGAACGGCTATATTCGTATTATTACTATTTTAACAGAATTTTTAGCTTATTTTATTTATTTATTTATTGTTTTTTTTTTTTGTTTTGGAAATTTCCAAACGGCGGAGGGTATTCAAAGTTCAGCCAGGCCGAACTTACTGCTATTTTACTTCTTAAAATTATAATGTGATTTTCTTACGGATTTTTTTTAAGTTTTTAAAATTTGTTCCAAATGGTGGACGGTATTAGTATTAAGTTTGGTCCTGCCGAACGTATCTGTTTTTATATTTGTTCCTTACTTGTTTCATATTTCAAAACGGTCAATTCCTTCTCAGGGTTGCGGGACATTGTACGGTTCTCAATTTTCTATTATATAAAGCTATATTCGGAAAGGATTCTTGCTTTGGTGTTGAAGAAAGTTGCATCAGATGATTACATTTGCACTCAGGGTCTTCTCAAAAATTTTGGTTTTAGTGCTAAAGAAGTTAGTGGATTTAGTACTACTGAACCTTGACTTTCAGGAAAAGACTTTCGAAAAAAAATTGTCCTAAAATCATGTACTTCACACATTCAATATCGTCATAAACTCTTTATCCTCAGGCCACACCTTTTCAGCGATTTCTCTATCTGTGTCTTTTAAAACCTATCTATGCTAAGTACCTCAATCCCCAATCTTTACCTCTTTTCGAAGCTGATAGGCTGTTCTGAAATCTTATAGTTCGATGTTCAATCAGCTAGACCTCAAAAATTCTTAAGTTTTCATTTGCGAAATTGTAGTCAATAGATATTTTATTAAATTGGGACTCACCCTCAAGAAACATTTGCTCTAGAAAATTTATCTGTAAAAATTCTTATTGAATTTTAAATTTACAAATATTACAATACAATGCCTCCTAGTCATGGTTGATAGCAGCAACAAAAGCTTCCCGTGAACGCAGAAAAAAATACAAAAATAAGTTGCAATTCAGTGCCACAGGCATTGACCCGGTCAAATTAGTTGATATAAAAATTATTACACTGACTTTTGTTTATGCCTTTGTTTCGGTGTTGGAGTGTTCTTTTATTTATCTTTGTTGTATTTTTTTTTTTGTTTTTTGTAACACTTCATTGCCAAAAGTTAAAATGTGTTCCAATTTGTTTGTTGTTGTCCATATTTGCGCTTTTTTTATCAAGGCGAGTTTTCTGGGTCACATGATAGCTATGTATGTGTGTGCCCATTAAACAAGCGAGAGAGAAAGCGGCAGCATCAAATTAAAACGGATCTTTGTGCTTTATAAATATTAAATTAAATTCCACTTTTTTGTGTTATTGTTGTAGTTGGAACACCACTACTACTACACTACTGATACAGCTTACAATGTGTTCTCATTTCGCCATTTTGTGTCATCTCTGTTGTTGTATTCATATTTTCACTTGTTTTTCTTCTTCTTCTCTGTCTTTTTTTACTTTCATTTATTTACCCATCTGCCCTACGCCCGTCTGACTGCTGCCTGCCTGCCTGACTGTCCTGCGACGATGCTGCCCGGCTGGATGTCGTACGTACGTGAATATCCGTTGTTGTTTTTCGGTGGGGCTATAGGTGATGTATCATCGCTGAATGCCAGCGGCGGTTCATCCACTTTGCATGCATGCCTTTCATGCTTTTGGCCACGTTTAACAACACTTTCACTGTTGCTCTATTATGGTGTTCGGCAACAACTATTGCAATTATTCTTTGGCCAAAAGACAATAAATGAAAAAATAAGCAATTGTTTGGCATTCAATGGGAAAATAACAAGGCGTACAAAAACAACAACAGCAACAGCAATGGGAGCATCAAGAACAGCAACAGCAACAACAACATCGACGACGACGACAATAATGGCAAACAATGAAAATTGCAACAAACTGAACAAAGAGAACACTGGCCAACAGCGACGACATAAAATGGAGACAAAAGAATTACAACAACAACGACAACGAGAGCAACAAAAACAACAACATAAAATGCCATCAGATGAGCAACAATTGCAGTATGTGCAACACCCAGAGTCCATGCAACAACAACAACAACAAAGACCTGCTGCTATAAGTGGTCCAATGTTCAGTGAAGTGGCAACAATTTGTTATAAAGACACAAAAGCTGGAGAAGAAGAAGACAAAGAAGATGGCGATCAAAAACAAGCACAACAACAGCAGCAGCAACAACAACAACCGAATAAAATGTTATTGTTAAGAGAGACATTTTTTCAAATAAAGTTAATCAACAATAAAAAAGAACAATTGCTTCAGCAACAGCACCGTCAAGTATCTGTGCAATTGGCACAGCAGCATCAGAATTTTTACAATGTGCAACATCAAGTGGCATGCAATGGAACAACAAGCGTAAACGAGACTTATAATTTAACAATGACAATTCAAGTGGCAACTATTTTTAATACCGGCAACAGAAGTAGAACAACAACACATTCCAACAATGCAAATATTCTTCCCCAACATCGAGCAGCAGCTATTCCCACAGATGTTATATGGCAGCTTTGCCATAAACAAAGTCTTGCCATTAAACATAATTTATTTATTTTACAACAACAGCAACAACATTGCAACTATCTTTCCTATCCCACCAAATACCAGGAAATCCAAAAGAACAACCCTCTTACCATCAACCTCTCCACCACAACGAAATCCATCAACAGCATCTTTGCTACATCAAACGAATTCAACGTAACCAACTTTTCACAGCTAACCAATGTGGTTGGATGTTTGCAGACAAAACTAATGTTGGATACAACAACACCAAAATTTTATATCATGCATACGTAAAATATCATCAAAAAAATTGCATGCAATATTTATATATAATTTTGTGTGTGCGATGCGGAAATATTGCAATTTTCTGAATTCGCACAGAAAAATGAATAACTGTGTGTGTTTAATAATATTATTTTTTTTTTTTTTTGTAGCATAAGTTTTGTAAAATATTATGGAAAATGATATATGTATATGTAATGCTATATATACAGACGTTATAAAGGAAATATAGACCATTAAGTTTTATGTAGCTGTAATATTTTTTCAGATCCAAAAAAATAAAAGGAACATCTTGGAAGGTATTATGTCAGTCCCTAACTCCAAAACATATCCAGTAATTTTTATACCCTACAACACTATGTATTGGGGGTATTATAAGTTTGATTGGGCCAAAAATTATGTAACACCTCGAAATATTGGTGTCCCACATAGGAAAGTATATGCGGATCTTCCTATATCGCCGAGCTAAGTCGATTATGTCCATCCGTCCGACTATCCATGTTAATTTGTAATCAAGCTACAGGTCGAAATTATGGTCCGATCTTCACGAAATTTAGAATAGAGGTGGGACTAGAGCCAGAATAGAAGCCTATTGCTTTTGATGATGATCGCATAATATTTAGGGGTTGAAATGGGCCAAAAACTAGAAAATTTCTTCATTTTGAAATTGCTCTAGAGGTCGCAATTATAGACCAATAGACGCGAAATTTAGTATAGGGCTAGAGCTTAGGGCTAGGTAGAACCCTTCCAATTCTTATGGTCATCGGAAAATATTTAGTGGGTGAAATAGACCATAACATATGTGTTAAATAAAAGTCAAAATTTCCATTATAACGCGAATATTTTTAAGCCTGCGAAATCGCAAATAGACGAAAAGGTCAATTCTGACTGTTACGTAGATGCCGATAGCAATTAATCGGATGTATATAGCGAAATATATAGAATGTGTATATACAAAGGAAGGGGATGTTAGCTAGAATACTTATATCTCAAGAATGAATCGAACGATTTTGACAAACTTTGTCAATTCAGAATGCCCAGTTGGCATAAAAGAATAAAATCTAATAAAATCGCACAAAGATAAATCAATAATGATGTTAATATAGATTTTGTAGTATTTTGTGACATTTCTTCACATTTTTTATTGCATGCGATTTTTTCGATTTGACTTATAACATTGAAGTATACATGTTGTAATAATTTTCCACCTTACAACACAGGTTGCGGTTTTTATATACAGATTGCAATTATCGACCAAACCCCACGAAAATCACAAGGGTAGGGTTAGGCTCAGAAGGGCTAGGCCTATTGTTTTCAAAGATGTTCACAATATATTTAGGACCAACAACTAAAAATGTTCCTGATTTTGCAGCCATTATAAAGGTCACAAATATAAATCAAAGGACACGAAATCTCGCATGAAATTAGAGTTTAGGACAGCGGGTAGAATGGTGAAAAAATACCAATGTTTCCATTCTACCAAATTGATGAATATAACTTACAGACGATATCCAAAATAAACAAGAGACGATCTTCTGGCTTTTTTATGCTGATTTCATTGACGAACATAGCCAAATATCGTAGATGAGCAAATCATATAGATGAGTATAAATTTGGAGATAAAGAGGGGCCTCTTGCTTTTGGAGATGATCGCAAAAATTTCATTCAAATTCAAATAAATCAAAAAACAAAAAAAAAAAACAGAAAAAATTTCCTGATCACACAATTGAAGTCAATCCAAACGCCTGAGAAGAGAGTAAAGGACAGGGAAGAATTCTAGCATTGTGGATAACCATTGGATTATATTTAGCTGTAAAAAATGAACCACAACAGCAAAATGCACATCGAAGTGCGTAAATATTGGTCAAATATCCCTGATCAAAAAGTTAAGGTTAATATCTGGGCAGTGCTCTGTGATATTATTTCAAAAACGAATACTTCCAAAATGGATTTGGACAAAAGGGGGCTTCTAATATATTGTAGTCTTGTAGGGTATCACATGGTCGGCCCCGCACGACTATAGCCTATGTTTACTTGTTATAAAATGTATTTCATTATAAAACTTGCTCTAATTCTTCTATCACAAAATAATCCAAGAAATTTATGGAAGCCTCACATGCGAAGTAAACCCTTAGAATGTAAAGTGAATAAACTTTCTTAAAGATTATCGACAGGTAGGAAGTGGTTAATTGGTCCTTAAAAATTTTAAAAAGCTCCGATTTTACCTATTACCAAGTGATGAATTGCGGCAGCATATAATGTGCTTGCCTAACAACAACCAGTAAGGAAAGTTCAAAAGTTGGGCGGACTACATGATACCCTACACCACTATGCGTATTTAGTAGAGCTCCCGTAACAAAAAAGTATATATTGGGAATTTAAGTGAAGTAGATCATACCAACTATGCATGATATGACTTCCATAAGGATTATATTAGACAAGTAAAAAAGTTGTAAGTTCGGCAGGGCCGAACTTTTGAATACCCTTCACCATTTGTAACGAATTTGGCAATTCTCAAAAACAATGAAATCCGTTAAAAACTCTGTTAAAATCTTAGAAATGCCGAATGTAGCTGTTATATTAGGGTCTATACGACGACATGGACTGCATAGGTAACATTTGTCATAAGCCATTACAATATTCAAATGCGAAACTTAAAAAAAATCGGTAACAATTCCGATGAATAATGTCGGTAAAACCATCAAAATACCGAATATCGGGAGGTATTGTTATATGGGAGCTATACGAAGACTTGGACCTGTACAGACAATTTTCTGTCATAGGCTGTAGTATCCATTACGAACCTCAAATGACAAATTTGAAACAATTCCGGTGAATAAAGTCGCTAAAATCATCAAAAAAACGAATATCGGGAGATACCGTACCGATACGTAGGCATGGACCGGCACAGACAAGCTCCTGTCATAGGCTGTAGTATCCATTAGGAACATCAAATATCAAATTAGAAAGAATTCCGGTGAATAATGTAGCTACAATCATCAAAATACAGAATATCGGGTGGTACCGTTTTATGGGGGCTACACGAAGACTTGGACCTGCACAGATAATTTTTTGTCTTAGGCTGTAGCATCCATTTCTAACGTCAACTACGATATCTCAAACCATTTCTGTGGGTATTGTACCTAAACTCGTCAAAATACCGAATATAGGGAGATACCGTTATATGGGGGCTATACGAAGACGTGTGCCTACATGGCCCATTTTCAATACCAAAGAACAGACTTAACATAAAGTTGAGTAAAATTTTATCAATCTACTTCTATTCGTTCGGAGTGATTTTCACAGACGGATAGACGTACAGGCATCGCTAATCGACATACAATTTTATGTTGATCAGGAATAAATATGCTTTGTAGGGTCTAAAATGTATATTTCGAGGTGATATAAACGGAATGACAAACGTAATATACCCTCCATACTATGGTGGAGGGTATAAAAAGGTTTGAAAAATAGAGACATATATTTACCTCCTTAAAAAAATTTAAAATTTTACTTAAAATAATTGAATAAATGTAGGAACATGCCTGTTCTTACATTTCTGTTCAATTTATATCTTTAAAGCTCTTCCCAACTTCACATAGTTGAATAACGCTTTCCCCCTCTTTGTACGTCCAATACATATATTTCCAAGTACGAGTACTCACATCGCATGATTGCTGTATTTTATTTCCATATAAATATTTTAATAAATTCATCCAAAAAAAAGAAAAACTTTTCCTTCATTCTCTGCTTCTCAATTCTTTGAAAAAATGTTTCATTTCGTATGAAATTCAGTTGAAACGCTTTATTTTTTGATGAAAGGAATTTGGTTTTCCTTTTTTCTGTTGCTCTCTCAAGTCCATCAGTGGAACATTTACCCACATTTATATACGCATGCATACGGTGCATGCTGCTGTTAACACTTTGTTGTGAGTTTGAGTTAACAATCATCACCAGTAGTAGTCGTTTTTCCTTAGTTTATTTTCCGTCCAGACATCCACGCCTTTGCAAAAAAGGCCGATCAAAAGAGCCGACAGCATAATAAGAAACAAATAACACTAAAAAAATGACTGTCATTTCTGATGAAAGGGTGTTATGTTTGGGGGATGCAAAAACAATCATTGTTGCAATCGTCATTGTCATCATTTCGTTTTTGTCTGCCGGTCATGGTATTATAAATGGAAATTTGTACGAAAAATGCAACGTAATTTTAAAATTTCTTTGTAAAAAACTAATAGGGCGTTAAGTTCTTAGGTCAAACTTTTGCTATGACCCATGATATATCTTTAATCAAACACATTTCTCACTTTGCAATACTTTATTTACAGCGTTTACATCTTCACCCACATACAGGGTGAGATGGAAAAAATTTCTCGTGAGCTGAACATATAGCAATATTCCATTCGGCAAATATTGAAAAATGAGCTTGGGGTAAAGTCATTGAAATTCCAAAAAGTTCAAGAACTGACACCGCAATAGAAAGAAAATAGACTCAAAAGAAGTAAAGAGTTGCTTCGCTTGGCCGAAAGTAGTGAACTGCCGAATTTGGTTTTCTCCGACTAGAAAACATTCGTTGTCCAGCAGTTTGTAAAAAAACCACATGATCCTGTTTACTTGCCAAAGAGGTCAGCTGAAAATGTGCATCTTCGGTTGGCCACCAGAACTCAAGCACCGGCCATTGTGATGGTGTGGGCCGTCACAACAGCCAATGGTCGCTCTCCGCTCGTATTAATCGACCGTGGCATCACAATAAATTCCGAATATTATCGCGAAAATATTGTAGAGGGTGTATTAAAGCCTTGGGCACGTAAACATTTTGGCCGCAGACCTTGGAAATTCTAACAGGACTCAGCACCATCGCACTCAGCACGCGCCACCCAAGAGTGGTTACAAAATAAGGTTTGTCGCTTCATTTGCAGCGCACAATGGACACCGAAATCTCTGAATACCAATCCGTTGGACTATTTCGTCTGGGGTATTTTGGAAAGTAAGGTTGGCCCTAAATATACCAA